CATGGGCCTGACATCTCCACGTATGCTGAATCCCACACATTTCATAATTACTGTCAGTAGATGCCAATTGTGATGCTGTTACCTGACTCCTGGTAAAAGCAGTAAAGCCCACCATCAAAACAGGCACCAGCAGCTTAGGCAATAATTCTGGAGCGGCTAATAGAATATGCTTTTCAGGAACGTCACATCACCAATGTTCACCACAGCACAGAGGACAGCACTGCTTGGGAAAACATGGACGAGGACAACTCTGGGTCAAAAAGTGGTTCAGAACATCAGACTCACAATGTCAATCTTCAGAAATCTCTCTCGCATTTTCCTTTTTGTATATGAATTAAGTGTAATATGATGGAAATCTATCAAAAGTCTGTACGTTCTTTCAACAAATACAAAAAGTTTAAATGATAAGCATTTTCATAGTTCTAATTGGCACATTTTTCTTAATGGTTTACAAAATAAAGGTGTGTCTTACAACTGCTGGTGTATAAGATTCTCTGAAAAACACTGCATGCTCCTCCAGAGGCAGCCAGGAATCCAGATTGACACTTCTCCAGGTAAGACCCAGCAGGTCATGGGGCAGGTCCTGGAGCCACTGTCTTGTCCTTCTGCTCAAAATCTTGATTTCTCGGCTCAGCGCCTGTGGCTCAAGTGGCTAAGGAGCCAGCCACATACACCTAAGGTGGCGGGTTCGAATCCAGCCCGGACCCGCCAAATAACAATGACGGCTGCAACCAAAAAAAAAAACAAACAAAAATAGTCGGACATTGTGGCGGGCACCTGTGGTCCCAGCTACTTGGGAGGCTGAGGCAGGAGACTCGCTTGAGCCCAGGAGTTGGAGGTTGCTGTGAGCTGTGATGCCATGGCTCTCTACCCAGGGGGACAGCTTGAGGGTCTGTCTCAAAAAAAAAAAAAAAATCTTGACTTCTCAGCCAGGTCTTCACGTCAGTGTGGGTGATGAAAGCAAATCAGTGTCATTACTTCAGTCAATTTTTTAAAAATTAATTTGGACAACTTTACAGATAAATTTAGAGCCCATAAATAGTGGACCATTTGGATCCTTTCCATTTCTGAATTTTTTTTATAAAGTTGCAATTAGCCTGTTCATTTGTCTTATGTCCTTTTCCCACCAGTCACTTTCAGTCTTGGGCATTAGCACTGCTGCCAAGTTGTCATAATCATTCTATCCCTCCAGATGTTTGTATCAGTGCTACTGAATGAAATTCATTTGTTCTTACTATCATAGGGTATTATCTCAAAACTGTTAAGAAATCTTAGTTTAGCACATTGTTAGGATGATTCAAGATCTATAGAAAATAACACAGTGATACAAGGAATATAAAAGTGCACCTTCTAGGGTAATGTTAAGTTGATTTTTTTTCTATTTGTAACAATCACCTTTGGAGGGATCAAAAAGCTTCTTAGCTCTACCATCTACTGAAGGGAGCAGGAAGGCTCTGAACTCCATTCAGACTTAACTGTTTATTCAGGACTATGCCAGAAAACCTGCTGCTCCAGCCCTGGCCCACCGCCCTCCTCCCAGACCAAGCACCCTCAAACTACGGCCCATGGGCCACATGCAGCCCGTCTAGGACATTTATCCGGCCTGCCAGGTGTTTTTGCTGCCACTGCCTGTCCTGCTTAGCAGCCGACTCATCCCAGGGCCCACAGTCCAGTCCTCCAACAGTCTGAAGGACAGTGAACTGGCCCCCTGTTTAAAAAGTTTAAGGACCCCGTCCCAGACCCTCACCTGTAAATCACAGTGCAGACAGGGTGGCAGTGCTTTAATGGAGACAGCTGGCAAACCAAACTGGACTGGACGCCTGATTAGAAAACACTCAGCAATGTAACCCTCACTCATGCCTGTAATCCTAGCACACTGGGAGAGTGAGGCAGGTGGATCACCTGAGCTCAGGAGTTCAAGACCAGCGTGAACAAGACCCCTGTCTCTTAAAAATAGCAAGGCATTGTGGTGGGTGCCTGTAGTCCCAGTGGCTACTTGGGAGGCTAAGGCAAGAGGATCGCTTGAGCCCAAGAGTTTGAGATTGCGGTGAGCTATGACACCACAGCACTCTACCAAGGGCAACAAAGTAGGACTCCATCTCAAAAAAAAAAAAAGAAAGGAAGAAAAGATGGCTTGGCACCTATGGCTCAAGTGGCTAAGGCGCCAGCCACATACACCTGAGCTGGCGAGTTCAAATCCAGTCCAGGCCCACCAAACAACAATGACGGCTGCAACCAAAAAATAGCTGGGTGTTGTGGCGGGCGCCTGTGGTCCCAGCTACTTGGGAGGCTGAGGCAGGAGATTCACTTGGGCCCAGGAGTTGGAGGTTGCTATAAGCTGTGATGTCACAGCACTCTACCCAGGGTGACAGCTTAAGGCTCTGTCTCAAAAAAAAAAAAAAAAAAAAAGAAAGAAAAGAAAACATCCAGCAAGTTAAAAGGTGCAATTTTTGTTTGTTGTGCACCATGTTTCCCATGGGAAGGCTTCCTGAAAAGCCAGTGGGAAGCGCACAGAATTCCTACAGGTGTAGATGGGGAGCATGACAAAATGACCCTATGTCATGACCCCACAAAGCACAAAGCCCCCTTGGCCCCCAACACCAGCACTATTAGATCTGCTCTATTACCAGACTTGCCTCTTCACGTGCACCACCTTTAAAGGAAGTCTGTAGCATTAACTTTTACTCAATTATCATTTTTTTTTAAGATTCAGAATGGGCTACTGTGTTCCTATGTAACATATTTTTAATACTCATATGACCACTTTTCAGGTAAAATGCTTTAAGTCATAGGAAAATGATTTACAAAGATGACTCCTCTATCCCCCACCTACCCCCTTTTTTTTTTTAAGAAAGAGTCTCAGTTTATTGCCCTCGGTAGAGTGCCGTAGTGTCACAACTCACAGCAACCTCAAACTCTTGGGCTCAAGCGATTCTCTTGTCTCAGCCTCCCAAATAGCTGGGACTACAGGCACCTGCCACAACGCCTGGCTATTTTTTGCTTGTAGTTATTGTTTGGCAGGCCCAGGCTGGGTTTGAACCCACCAGATACGGTGTATGTGACTGGCACCCTAGCCGCTGAGCTATAGGCGCCGAGCCAGAAAGAAGCAGTTCTTAAGGCCAAGTTTATGTTTGTAATTTAACCTTTGGGGAAAATACATGCAGGAAAACAATCCATAAAGAAATAGCTGGAATTGGTTTGGTGCCCATAGCTCAGTGGTTAGGGCACCAGCCACATACACTGGGGCTGGCGGGTTTGAACCCAGCCCAGGCCTGCCAAACAATGATAACAACAAAAAATAGCTAGGCGCTGTAGCAGACACCTGTACTCTCAGCTACTTGGGAGGCTGAGGCAAGAGAATTGCTTAAGCCCAAGAGTTTGAGGTTGCTGTGAGCTGTGACACTACCGCACTCTGCCAAGGACCATATAGTAAGACTGTCTCAACTAAAGAAAAAAAAAGAAAGAAAAGAAATAGCTGGAATATAGAAAATGCTCACCTTAGCAACTTTCAGGCAAACAGTGACTCAACTTCTGGCCTTATTCCTGCTACAGCAGGGCCTGGGTGGGGAGGAAGGCACACCTGGAGAGGGGATGCTCCCTAAAGCTATGTGTGGCTCCGCCCAGGCCTTCCTTTCTCCAGGGTGCCATCTGACTCTCAAAAGATGCACACTAGTGGCATCTCTGGGATAGCTGTGAAGAGAGGCAGAGTCTTCACACCCTGGCAGGTACAGGACTTGGGAAGGAGGAAGGATGGATGAGCCATACTCCTCCCTCTGCAAAGGCTCCCTCTTGTGCTGGCCCCACAGTTCACCATTTCCAAGTCTCAAAACCTACCCATCTGCAACACAGCATGGAATTCAAGGCCTTTGAGGCCTTTAGCCTAGAGAGGCTCTGCAGAAAAGACATCAGGCTTGCTCCCAGTCCTGGCTTCACAAGTCGAGGCCTGGGCCTAGTGCTCTGCTGCTACTTTAGAGACCTGGCCCCTTCTCTCCTGGACCCAAAGCAGCAGTGGTGACATCTGGTGAATGACATGTGGTACCCCCTCCTCTAGCCAGCAACTGACTGACCAGTAACTGACAGAACAGTCTGGATGAGAAGACTCCAATCATCTGTGCTTTACCCAGAGTAGTTCTGGGTGCTGTTTTAGACTTGGGGTTCCCTCATAAACAAAGAGGTCTGCTAAATGTTGGAACCTGTCATCTAATCCAGTCCTTCTAGTGGCGGCTGGGAAAGCAGCTGGGAATTGCTGTATATTAGTAAGAGACTTCTGAGTTGTCCCCTCAGCTGCTCTGCAAGCACAAACAGGCACAACATGGAAGTGTTGGCAGGAGTCAGGCGCTCAGGACAAAATCTGCCAGAGCGAACAGATTTCCTGCCTATATGTTAACAGACAGGAGAGAAGTTTGAAAATGTGTCCTAGTATTTGTCATTCACTTAGGATTTTGATTCGGTTTATTTTCATTTACTTATGATTTTAAAACTATACATGCACCATCTGCTCGTGCTGTTACACAGTGTTCAGCATCTGATGCGTTCATGCAGATTCCTGGGTTAAACAGTCCTCAGTGGAATACCTTGTGTCTTGCTACCAAACCTCCAGCACCTTCTCTCACTTGCTAGCATTAACCTAAAGGATGAGAGAGAAGCCAGATCCAAATAATGTCTAGTCCCAGGACATCTGTCATGAAAGGCAACACAGCTGGAAGACCTTGAAAGCTCCTTCCCAAATTCCTGGTCCGTTCTCCCAGATTTTCACATGGGGCCTAGGCCCTTCTCAAGCTGCTCCTGGAAATTCAAAACCAGAAAGCAGCACCAGAAACCAGCATGAAAGTTCCACTCAGCACATACGACATCCCCTGAGCCCGCCTGATTCTCCTCCGACCCATCCTACACCATTGTACATACACATCAGGGCAGAAGCACCATCTGAACCTGGCTTTGTGTCCTCTTACTCTGTTCTCACAGGAAGCCAGGAACCCAATAAAGCAACTTAAATATCCTTTTTTTTTCTGTGAAATTTATTGTTTCCACATTAAAAGACTTTTTTTGAGGGGAAGTATTTGTTTTAACCACATGATGATCCTATACAGCTGCCCAGATTAGGACACCATCATAAGTCATTAACATGCCATATGAATTCTGAATAAATAAAAGCTACAAAGCCCAAGTTATATATAAATATCTTAGGCAATAATGTTTACAAACCTATGTACAATAAAACAATGTAAACAGTAAATGCAGCATGAGAGTAATCAAAGGGTGCACAGGGACAACCTCTCTTGGTCAGTCTGCCCCCAGGAGCTGGCACCAGCCAGCCCTGGAATCAGGCCACTCTACCCTTCCTAACCCAACTGGACAGGCCCTCAGAGGAGAAAACAAAAATGCTCTGAAGATGTCATCAAACTGAAGGACCAGGAAGCTGGCAAGGGGTTTCCCTCTTCCCCCGAGTCTGAGGCACACGGAGGAGGAGACAGCACAGAGGCTCAGCCTGTGTGTGTTTAGGCCCCAAGGCTCCTGCCACCTGGGCTCAGAAGGACATTTTGCTGCTCTGGGAGATGAGTCCATGGAATGGTAACCGCTTAAGTAAAATCAGAAGGTGTATAAAAAATGTTCCCTAATTCAGAAACCTTCCTGACTTCGCCAGAAACAGGCCCAGACTGTGAGGGGTGGAGCTGGGGACACATGATCGTGAGTACTGAGATGCATGGAAGCACAGGGGGAGGGCACACATAGACCTGATTTGGGGGAGAACGTCTAGAAGATCAGCAATGTCCTAAACACAACTAAATCCTATCAGTACAGCAGAGTGGAGGCTATGAGGCAGGTGTGATGAATGAGTACTTCTGCATCCAGTGACCAAGTAATACACGTATGTATCTCCTTGTGACCCACAAAGTGCAATCATGTGAAACCAACGGCACTACGGCAAGAAGAAAAAATAGCCAGTATTGATATCGCGCAGAGTCCTGGGGCTAGGCGGGGCCCAGCAACCACCACAGCATGCAGCCTGCCCTCTGCCAGCCATGGGGAGGCAGACAGAGTGGCGCAGGGCTGGGCCCAGGCACCAAGGGGTGAGACATGGGTGTCCTGGGTTGTTGGAGGAGGGCAGGAGCCCCCACCTGGAGGCCGGCCACTCACACACTGAGAGGCAGCATACCCGGTGCTGAAGATGGACGCGAGGAGCCCAGACCAGGAGGAGGAGGAGCTGGGTCAAAGCCGTTTACTGCCCTGTGAGGGTGATCAAAGCAGGGAAGAGAAAAAGGAAGAAAGAAAAAGAAACTGTCATTTAAAATCACTCTAAGCACAGCAACAAATTCATTTGCTTTCTAAAATTATTCTTCCTGACCCACTGTGGGCCCTCAATGGTCCTAGGGGGAAGTGCCTGCCTAGAAAGTATGGGTTAGAACTTGGTAGTCCTAGAGAACTGAGACCACGCGACCCTTCTTAGCAACTTCATCACACTGGCTGTTAACAGCCACAGCCCGTACAGCAGGTTTAAATGTCTGGCAATAAGGAACTAGTTACAAGTAAACAATTGAATATTATGCAGTCGTTAAAAACACTTTCCAACAGAGTTGTTTAATAGCATGGGAAAATACTAAGAATGTAATTGATACAAAGTAGAAAAAGGAACAAGTTACCAAACCATGTTTAATAATGTGAAGGGAAAAAAAGTAAATGGTACATATGCTAGATTCTACCCCTTATATAGACAGATATTACTATCTCTGGAGCTTAATCTAGAATGGGGGTGTGTGTGTGTGCGTACCCTCATACTATATATATATACACACAAATATATGTACATATAATCACATATATCATAAAAAGAAAATTTAACAGTAGTTACTTTTCTTCCCTCTGAGTTGTAGATAAATTTTATTACTTCATACGTTTTTATTATTTTTTCAAATCTCCTACAATGTACATGAATATCTTAAGAGGGAGAAAAATAACTTTTTAAAAATTGTTTAGCAAGCAAAGCTTTTCTCTGCAGAGTCATGCTCAAGCAGCCTGCCCCAGCAAAGAGCCTGCAGCCAGGACCCAGAGCCCAATGACAGGAGAGCCCAGCCCCGCCTGCCTGGCATTGTGGCCACAGGTAGCAGGGAGTGAGGGGATAGAGACCGGGAACCTCTCTCAGGGGGCTGGGTCAGGTTTCCATCCTCTAAAACTTCCTAGGAAAATTTGTCCCACTAGCAATTTGGGAGAGTCAGCCAGCCATGACAAGGAGCTGCACTATAGCACACCTGCCCACCTCTGTCCCCGACTACTCCTCAGAGCAGCCCAGGGAGTTGAACATAGAATCATGGAGACAAGTTCTCTTCAAAATACAGACACACACATAAAAACCTCCAGACACATATTCCCTGCAAAGACAACTGTTTTATACACTGAAGAGGTGAGTGTAACCTCAGAGAAACAAGCATGCAAATAGACTCAACAACCCTGTCCACTTTAAAGAAACCTAAACTCAGTTTGGTGCCTAAAAAAATCTAAACTCAGAGTACATATTTGGAATTTGAAATCAAGCCTAAAAAAACCTAAACTCGGCTCGGCGCCTGTGGCTCAAGTGGCTAAGGCGCCAGCCACATACACCTAAGGTGGCGGGTTCAAATCCAGCCAGGGCCCGCCAAACAACAATGACGGCTGCAACCAAAAAATAGCCGGGCATTGTGGCGGGTGCCTGTGGTCCCAGCTACTTGGGAGGCGGAGGCAGGAGACTCGCTTGAGCCCAGGAGTTGGAGGTTGCTGTGAGCTGTGAAGCCATAGCACACTATCCAGGGGGATAGCTTGAGGCTCTGTCTCAAAAAAAAAAAAACCTAAACTCAGAGTACATATTTGTAATTTGAAATCAAGCCACACAGAGACCCAAGAGCAACAAGAGGCTCCGACAAATGTCACTTCTTTGTGTTGTACCCTGGATAGCCTGGATTTTCCCTTTTCTCTTTGGGCTGGGAAAGGTCTGTTGCTTGAGCTTCAACATGTGCTGGAACCACTCTTCCCCATTTTCCCAAGGCTATATGCCTATGCCTCTCCTAGAGGCCAGGGCCACCTCCTATCTGCACTGCAGTCCTCACAGAATAAGCTCCATCTATCCAGCTAATCCCAAAGTCCCTGATGCCGGCCTGTTTCTCCTATCAACCTCAGGTAGAACTACACAGGACCCACAAGTAGCCTTTCACCTTCAACATGTGACTCTCAGATTTCCAATTTCACAGATCACAGTGGTGGGGCCAGTTCCCAAACTTGTTCCACACAGCCAACCCCCAAAAACTGGTAATAAAAGGAGCCAAGAATGGTGCCTGTGGCTCAGTCAATAGCGTGCAGGCCCCATATACCAAGGGTGGTGGGTTCAAACCCAGCCCTGGCCAAACTGCAACAAAAAATAGCCAGGCGTTGTGGTGGGCACCTCTAGTCTCAGCTACTTGGGAGGCTGAAGCAAGAGAATCACCTAAGCCCAGTAGTTGGAGGTTGCTGTGAGCTGTGATGCCATGCACTCTACCAAGGGTCATAAAGTGAGACTCTGTCTCAAAAAAAAAAAAAAAGAAGCCAAGAATAATCTGGCAACAGGAATGTGCAAAAGCAGGAGGCTGATTCCATGAGCAGGTTTAGGGCAGGGACTCCAACATTTTCAAGTGATTACGGACAGACCTTTAAGGAACACTGGGGTTCATCTCCCTTATTACACTGCTACAGAAACCAAAGCAAGAAAAGGTCTAGGCTTTAACTAACTGAGTTCAATCAGCCCACAAGCTGCCTCCAAATGCCCAGGCCATCATTCCTCTCCTAGTTTCCTCCTGGTCAAGGCCACTTGACAGTCTTCAGCAAGTAACCAGTTTGGTATTCCCAGACCAGGTCAGCTCTAATGGGAAGAGTGTGGTACAGTACAGGATATAAGGAAGAACAAGAGCTAAGTAAGGAAATGAGACTCTTGATTGAAGGTGAGTGGAGTAGAGAATGATAATTCACCAGGGTCCCACCTAGCATGTCTCTCCGAAGTCAAGAAATGGGAAGTTAAAGACCAGAGGGAGATGATGTGTCTGGTGAGATCCTCTCAGGGGTGTGCAAACTTGTGCATTGGGGAAAAGTTTCTAAGAGAAGATAGGTTAGAAACCTTTAAGAGAGGTTTTAAGAGATACCTCCATACTCACCATGTTTGGTTTTAGGGAGCTGCAAAAGAGCCAAAGGGAAATACCTCAGTGAACAACACAAGACTGAAGGAAGACAGAATGAGCAGGCATGGAGATAACAGGGTTGAGACTCATGCATGTAAAAATGGGTCCAGAGGTTATAAAATTTCATGATCCTACCAACAAAAACTAAGTAAAAAGTCAGAAAAGTAGAGACTCCAGCTGTGAAAAGGTGTGAAGATCAGTTGTGAAATGGCAATAGAAGACATGGAAAGGGGGAAGAACCAATCAGTGAATGCTTTCAAAGCTGGTCAGGAGGACAATAAATCTAAGGCAATAGAGATAAAGGAAGGAAACATACCTGTCTGTCCAAGATGCAAGGAAGGGTGTACTGGAGAGGACAGGAGAGGAAAAATAAGAGTGGGGTAAAGCTAATTCAGAAGAGCCTGTAGAGCTCGGCACCCGTAGCATACTGGTTACGGCACCAGCCACAAACATCAAGGCTGGTGGGTTTGAACCAGGCATGGACCAGCTAAAACAACAATGACAACTGCAACAAAAAAATACCTGGGCGTTGTGGCAGGCACCTGTAATCCCAGCTACTTGGGAGGCTGAAGCAAGAGAACTGCTTAAGCCCAAGAGTTGGAGATTGCTGTGAGCTATGACACCACAGCACTCTATCAAGGGTGACAGTGAGACTCTGTCTCAAAAATAAATAAATAAATAAATAAGAAGAGCCTGTGGGCAGACCCACTCCAGACTCATCTCCCTGCTTCAGTGGATAATCCTGTGCTCAGAGAAGCTCCAGCCCTCACCCTAGGCTTTGGCTAACTGAAAAATGGTTCTGAAATATAAGGAAAATCTTATGTATATCCACATCTACCATTCTAATTTTAATTTGAAGACACAAGCGTGAGCACGGAGATTAGGGAGTACCCACACACACAAGGCTCTTTATCATTAGTGCCTAATTTGAGAAAACAGAAGCAATTTAGTAGAACAGGAAGAACTCTAGTCCCGTGAAAATAGTACAGTGTGGTCCTAGGGTTCCACACTGAACCTGAGCCCCCAATTCCAGGCTCAGACATCCTCTGCAGCGCCCTACCTCACACATCAGGAGTGCCACCTGGCACACTAGTCATAGCTGGTCAATGACCACTGCAACTCATCTGTTCTTATTCTGCACAGCTGAATTAATAGTAATAGTCAAACAGGATCTTGAAAGCTCACTCATGGGCTCTAAGTTGGTTAAAGCTGAGTCAGCCCCCATGCAATTAGTAAAACCAATTAATGTGTCTTCTGCCACACACTATGATTAAGAAAGAATGAAAAAGAGCACAGCAAACAAATTCAGTTACCCATGAACAACGTGGGAAATATGACTTTTTCTTGCCTAATAAAAAGAAGGAAAAAACATTAGACAGTAATATGTAGTACAAATACTATTTTCACTCTGTACCCTAAAATGACTCCATGCCCACCTACACACATCCCCAAAGAAACCAGACTGGCTTACAAAAATAGGGCAAGTGATGCACAAAAGGTTAAATAAAACTTATGGGAGAGAAAGAATATTTTTGAGAGAATCCAAGTGACTATACTACAGAGAAAATCTGTATCCTTTTGATGGTGATACAAAGAGCTAGCAGTGGTTAGGGGAAACAGAGCAACCCCTGGGAAGCAGGCACAGCAGCTTACCTCTTAAGAGGCTGGCAGAAGTGATCACAGACTAAATAAAATCCTAATTCCAAGAAACCCACAACCAACCAGAATTTACAAAGTACTTCTGAATCCCATAAAGCAATATACCTAGTTAAGCTCTAACTGCATCTGAAGATGGTGAGGGCAGCAGGAAGGTGGGGTGAGTACATGTACACCCACACAACACATATGCACATAAATCTCCTTTGATCAACTCTTTCCCTCAGACAATCCGCCTATAGATCTCCAGCATCCCTAGTCAGAGTGTCAGCACTGCAGACAGACTCCTCAGGAGAGGAGAGGGCAGGCTAGTTCTAGAGCTAAAGGTTTTTTTTCAAATGGAAATCTTTTTCTCATGCTAAAACTACAAGCCAGAATTCTACCCTTCTATAAAGACTGACTTTCTTTTTTTAACTTGCCAGCCTGTTTAACAATCAGGGAATTGTAATATTCCCCCCCCCCAACACTTTTGATTCTTATCTAGTCAACAGGTCAGTAAAGAAGAAAGGCCAGATATAAAAAGCTAGGCAGGCCAGAAGGAAGTCACAAGCAAAGCAAAGTGGCAAGAAAGCAAAACCTCAGGAATATGGCAACTAGACAAAGGTAGTAACTCAAGCAACGGTACATTAATACAGGGTGTCCATAAAGTTTGTGTGTGATTTCTGTCATGTTTGATCATTTCTGCCAGCTCCTAAGAGGTAGGCTGCTATGCTATGTTTCTCCCAGCCGCTGCTAGCGCACAAACTTTATGGGTACCTTGTATTCAGGTGTGTGTATAGAATCCACTTATCACATAAACTAGACACTTGCACAAATGACCCTACAAAAGCATATTTAATTCTTAATAGAAACAACACAACATAAAATGTACATAATTTAAAACAAAAACTAAGTATCACTGCAAAGTATTTCTACCAGGAAGTACACTTCCAGAGTCAGGTCAGGAGATAAAGCCTACACCTGCATCTAGGATACCCTTTCAAGGGAGTCAGAGCACCCAAGGACCACACCTGACTTCGGCTTATACTGACTCCCCTGTGTCTCCCTAAGGGCAAGTCCGATCCAACAATCTCTGCCCTGGAACTTGGAACTGAAGGTGTTATTCCTCCCTCATAACTGTCCTTAAGGACTTTCCAGACCCAACAGATCCTTTTATGACTCATGCCTGTTCTCACATCTTAAGATGCCCAAGGCCCCCCAAGAAATATGATTCCAGAGACAGACTAGTAACCACTCTACTGGAGGTAATTAGAAGTTGCAGGAAAAAATAATTAGGCATAGTTTGCCAACACTTAGGAAAACAACCTCTAAATTTTCTCCATATCATTAAGGGGAAATAGCTACTCTCATATAAAAATATCTATCCATTCCATTTACTATTACAGTACAAAAACAGGGGCATTCCTCAAGTTTGCCTAACGAAACCCAAAAAGTCAATTTTATACTTATCCCACCTGAAGAGCCCCAATAGATAAATTCAAGTTCTGATTTATATAATGGTATTTTAGAATGTGCTTTTAATATAATAGAATGTACTAAATGAAATAAGTACACATCAGGGTATGTGGCTCAGCACCTGTAGCTCAGTGGGTAGGGCACCAACCACATACACCGAGGCAGGCAATTCAAAGCCGTCCTGGGACTGCTAAACAATGGCAACTGCAACAAAAAAACAGCTGGGTGTTGTGGTGGGTGCCTATAGTTCCAGCTAGTTGAGAGGCTGAGGTAAGAGAATCGCTTGAGCCCCAGAGTTTAAGGTTGCTATGAGCTGTGACGCCACAGCACTCTACTGAGGGCGACAAAGTAATACTCTGTCTTAAAAAAAAAAGACATACATAAGCACATAGTCACAAATACTCAAAAACTAATGATAAACTGAAGTAGAACAATACATATACTGACATCGGCAGTATAAGTCATGATAGGCATGTTGCAGAGCAATATTTAATATATAATCCCATGCGTGTGTAGCAAAAAGCTTATAGCAGATGGATAAAAATATGATTTTACATGCCTAGGAGTAACTATAAAGGATGCAAAAATAATGTAAAAGCAAGAAACATTCACTTTTTAACTTCATATACTTCTATACGAACTGATTTTCTTTTTTTTTTTTTTT